GGAAGTAGGACTAACTAGTCTATAATTTTACCACTTTGTAAGTAGAACTAACTAGTCTATAACTTTACCACTTTGTAAGTAGGAATAACTAGTCTATAATTTTACCACTTTGTAAGTAGGAATAACTAGTCTATAATTTTACCACTTTGTAAGTAGGACTAACTAGTCTATAATTTTACCACTTTGTAAGTAGAACTAACTAGTCTATAATTTTCCCACTTTGTAAGTAGAACTAACTAGTCTATAATTTTACCACTTTGTAAGTAGGACTAACTAGTCTATAATTTTACCACTTTGTAAGTAGAACTAACTAGTCTATAATTTTACCACTTTGTAAGTAGGAATAACTAGTCTATAATTTTACCACTTTACTAGTTAGTCCTACTTACAAAGTGGGAAAATTATAGACTAGTTAGTCCTACTTACAAAGTGGGAAAATTATAGACTAGTTAGTCCTACTTCCAAAGTGGTAAAATTATAGACTAGTTAGTCCTACTTACAAAGTGGGAAAATTATAGACTAGTTAGTCCTACTTACAAAGTGGGAAAATTATAGACTAGTTAGTCCTACTTACAAAGTGGTAAAATTATAGACTAGTTAGTTCTACTTCCAAAGTGGGAAAATTATAGACTAATTAGTCCTACTTACAAAGTGGGAAAATTATAGACTAGTTAGTCCTACTTCCAAAGTGGTAAAATTATAGACTAGTTAGTCCTACTTCCAAAGTGGTAAAATTATAGACTAGTTAGTCCTACTTACAAAGTGGGAAAATTATAGACTAATTAGTCCTACTTACAAAGTGGTAAAATTATAGACTAGTTAGTCCTACTTACTTTAATTTTTATAACAAAACTGTACCATTTGTCCCTGCTATTTTTACATTATACAAATAAGTTACACCAAGATCTTATTTTTAAGTAGACAAAGAAGTTTTCCCGTTGAGTATACATTTTAACAATAAATCTAAGATAACAAAACTAACAGCAAGGGTAAGAGCACAGCATGTTCTACTTTTTTCTACCAGGATATTGTAACAGTACCTTCTGGTCTTACCAATAAGCTGTTGTTGTTCTTTTTTAACAAAGTCTATCATTCTGTTAACACTGAAGATATTCTTACATGATGACTTAGCAATATTTAACATTCTGTTAACACTGAAGATATTCTTGCATGTTGACTTAGCAACATCTAACTTTTTGTTAACACCGAAAATATCCTTACGTTGTTTTAGCAACATCTAACATTCCATTAACACTGAAGTATTCTTACATGATGACTTAGCAAGATCTAACATTCCGTTAACACCAAAGGTATTCTTAGATGTTGACTTAGCAACATCTAACATTCTGTTAACACTGAAAATATTCTTGCATGTTGACTTAGCAAGATCTAACATTCTGTTAACACCGAAGATATTCTTAGATGTTGACTTAGCAACATCTAACATTCTGTTAACACTGAAAATATTCTTGCATGTTGACTTAGCAACATCTAACATTCCGTTAACAATGAAGATATTCTTATATGTTGACTTAGCATCGTCTAACATTCTGTTAACACTGAAAATATTCTTGCATGTTGACATAGCAACATCTAACATTCCGTTAGACTCTTATTCTAAGAGACTTTGTTTGGTGACTGACCAACTACTTTAATACTGATTGTAAAACAAATTGGTTGAAGGATATAAAATGGATTTTCTAAAATAATGGATGCTATTCCTGATTCCTTTAGTAAAGGCCTTGCCAAAAGGGTTCGTCTCCGCCAGAAGTACTGTAAGACACAAAAATACATCATCACAAAAGACAGTTCTTTAATTTAATCTTTAAGAATCAAATATTGTTAGAACATATCCTTTTGTATGACAATAATGTACACATTTTTACTAAAAAAACATAGGGAAAAGTCAGAATCAAATTCCATATTTCTTTAGTAAAAACAGAAACTTTCTTGTCAGGTTTAAAAATTAATGCTAACAAACTAGTAAATTCATGGCTAGAGTTTAGTTCTGCTACTAAAACTTAAAGGTTACAAGACAAAAATTACTAACACATATTTCAAAAGATAGATTAGCATATTATTACTATCAATACACCTGTGGGTTTGGGTATGTTTTGAATTTTGCATGAGAGCTACCTGCACAAGCCATCCCATTTAGAAGTGATAGACTAGAGGGAAGGCAGCTAGTCAACACCACCCACTGCCAACTCTTGCGCTACTCTTTTACCAATGAATAGTGGGATTGACAGTCATATTATGATGCCCCCATGGCTGAAAGGGTGAGCATGTTTAGTGTGACAGGGATTCGAACCCATGATCCTCAGATTGTGAGTCAAGCACCCTAACCACCATGCTATGCCAGGCCCAATACACTCGTGATACATGCATTTAAATCACTTATATTGCAGGCTTCAAAGTACAGAATGTTACTACAGTTATGGTTAGCAAGACTGTTTCACTTGCCAGTTTTGCAATCCCCATTCAAGCTGCATGACATTCCGAGGCTAAGTACCACAAAATGACTATAGTGAGATCTCAGCTTCAATTATCTCACGCTATCTTGACCTCGGAAATTCAGTCCTTCCAGCAGTGAGTTTAGAGATACTGTGGGGATAATAATACAATAGAAATAAAATAAACTGCACATTTTTTTCTCCTCACATCCCACTTAATTTGTCCACGATTAATACAATTGTTATGCCTTTTGGCTTTTAATGCTTTGCCAGCTTTCAGCATTTGAACCCTAAGCAGTGGCCATCGGCAGTGGGTTACCGTGTGCTCTGTCGATCCAGGCATTTGGGCCTTGATACATAAATTTCCACCCAAATCGAGCACCTTTTAACTTCTGTGTGATAGTTAAAATAAAATGTATTTGAAATTAGTTTGATATTCAAAACTATTTGGAAAGAAAACATTAGACAGGAGATGTATACATATAAATAGTACATATTACATACTAATAAACATATAATATATGAAATAATGAATTATAAGACAGTTACAATTAATTTTAAAGAAGAACAATGTTGTTGCTAGTAACAATCTACATTTTACCAGTGAAGGAAAAAACTAGCAACCTTCAGAAGTTATGATTAAGGCTTGTAAGTGTTCAAAAGATAATGCAGCACAAATAGAATATGAAGAAAAATCATTTTTTACTTTAACCTACACTTATTGCTATTTTATTCCAAATTTAACTGAACTCAATGCTGCTATCAAAGTAAAGGACATCAGTATGACAGTAACAAAAAAGATTGAACTGAATAGTTGAGGACCTCTATAATTTTAACAGTGTAATATTATATTTCTACCTTCGAGTCAGTTCTTTGTACGGGATTTGGTTTGGTTGAGTTAGAGCAAAGCCATATTGGGCTATCTGCTGTGTCCACCATGAGGAATCATACTCCAGATTTTAGTGTTTTAAGTCCATAGACTTACTGTTGTCCCACCAAGGGACCTTTGTATTGGGAACAAACAGCATATCTTGGAATTTTTTTAGTTTTCTTAAGAATTATTTGTGTTTTTAAAATTTTTTTGTCTTAAGTTATATTTGCTTGAAAGCTACAAAAATTTCGTTCTATGATAAAATGTCAGCTAGGCTTAGTTAGGTCCAGCGAGTATGGCGGGCAAAGACAAAATATTTTGATCAGTCAATTCTTTGAATATAATATGGATAAATACAATAATTTATCATTTATTGAAAGTAGAACTATATAAATATAATACAATCACGAATACTGTAGCAAAAATATTGTTACATAGCCTGACCTGATACCATTTTGAAACATCATGTCCTAGGTCATTGATAAATCTTTGTCAGTTTATGTGACATTTCTTACAAGTTACAGCCAGAAGTGACGATTATTACAATTGGTAGAGTATCAAAAGAAATGTTAATTAACATCAATCAAGTTGAAACTAATTTGATACATAAAACGGAACTTCCTGACCAGCAATAAAACAAAATGAATTTCTGCAACAAAATAAAGTACTTTAATGCTTTCTCAAAAAAAAACAAGCAACAAAAGTTCTCACAATAAAATTTTGGAAATTTCATGGAATAAAAAATTAGTAAGTAAAAAAACTAAAGCAAATTATTATTTTTTAAAGCCAAAACTAGATACTGGTCGGTAAGTTTGACCTATATCTCGTGCAAATTTGATAAGCATTTCAACTGTGAGATGGAAAAATTCAGGGGATATCAGTGACATCATCACCCCCAGTCTAGAAATACGTGATCCCCTGTTTTTGCTAAAAAAAAGAGTACTGGACACTGAAGGTCACATAAAAAAAAATACACACTTACATGATCACCCGTTCCTGCAAGATGGAGGCAAACTGGACGCAAGGGGTCAGCTGGCCATTCTTTAGGAAGTAACACTTGAAACCTTCGTAAAAGAATGGTTTCATATTTATAAACTTTTTAACCCACTTCAAAAGGTGATATTTCAGATAGAAATATTTTCTTTGAAAAGGATTGTAAAGTCGGCACACCCTTTGATATATTAAAAATTACTGAGACCATTTTGTGCATGTACAAATTAGTGATACACTAAAGATTCTGTTACATACATATATGTATCTGACACAGGATAAATTGCACTGATGAAAAAAAAACTCCCACCAAATATAATTCAAAACAAACATGATTAACAACGAATGGGTGGAAATAACTTTTGTAAACCGTGTGAAAGTATACAAATTCACAAAAAAAAAGTCCAACCATTCACACGAGGAGCTACAAGTAGAGTTATTTGGAATAACAATAAGTTTTTTATAATGCGAGAAACAATTAATAAACAGTTCTTTACTACTTTTTCTACAGAATCTATGAAAATGTGAAAAAGACATATTTTACTTTGTTTACGCAATTTGAGTTACTATTAATAACATTATGATTAAAATTACCCATCACCTGATCAGTTAGTAACTATAAAGATTGAGTATACAAAGCATCATGGCCAGAAAAGATTTTCATCGCTGTTTTAAACAGGAGACGTGTGATCCTCTTCCATGTTAGTAAGTCAACAAGGAGTGGACAAGTGCCTCACAATCTGAGAGTTTCTTATGTTACTCCAATTTTTAAAAGGGGTGACAAGATGATTTGCCCTCTAAATTATAGACTAGTTAGTCCTACTTACAAAGTGGGAAAATTATAGACTAGTTAGTCCTACTTACAAAGTGGGAAAATTATAGACTAGTTAGTCCTACTTCCAAAGTGGTAAAATTATAGTTAAAAGTTGAATTTATTTTCACAGAAAATTTATATGTGCTATAATAGTATTATAAACCTTGAAATTTAATCATTATAATGTATTTTAATAACAAGAAAAATAATATAATGCTTTACTAAGCTTCTGAATTATTGAGATGTGTCTGTCTGATTTTGTTGTAAATTTCTTGACTACATCTACATGGTGTTAGAAAACCGAGAGATCAAATGTAAGTCCATGTTCTATTTTTGTGAGTAATAGTCATCAGTTTGTGTGTTACTGTTAGGAGCCATAAGTGTTATTATTTTAGGTTTTTTACTAGTACTTTTATCAGACTTGAGCCCAGTCTGTAGTTTTGTGATTAAAAGTAATTACTGTGTTTAATATTAAAACTAGTAACTATAATTCTTATCCAAGCACAAAAACCATGTAAATAATTTCAGAATTCAGTGAATGCATTACCTACCTTTTAATTTTAAATTTCAATTACAGTGTGTCGAAGACTCGCTTTGTTTTCTGTTACGTCTTCTATATTTAATGTAATTTTTTCTATTCTTATTGTTATACAGTTTATTTAACTTTTCTTATATTCCAATACAATATTTACTATCCCTATGTATCTAGTACTATCTGTTCTTCTAGTGCAAGCTTTACCTTCACTCTGTATTTAGTATCACCCGTTCTTCTAGTGCAAGCTTTACCTTCACTCTGTGTTTAGTATTACCTGTTCTTCTAGTGCAAGCTTTACCTTCACTCTGTGTTTAGTATTACCTGTTCTTCTACTGCAAGCTTTAGCTTCACTCTGTGTTTAGTATTACCTATTCTACTAGTGCAAGCTTTACCTTCACTCTGTGTTTAGTATTACCTGTTCTACTAGTGCAAGCTTTACCTTCACTCTGTATTTAGTATTACCTGTTCTTCTACTGCAAGCTTTACCTTCACTCTGTATTTAGTATTACCTGTTCTTCTACTGCAAGATTTACCTTCACTCTGTGTTTAGTATTACCCGTTCTTCTAGTTCAAGCTTTACCTT